CGATTAATCTATCGACTAATTTATCGATTAATCGATTAATCTACACAATTAATTTCCCGCAAAAAAATCAACAATTTTACTTACGAATATTTTATTAAACTATATTTTATTAAACCAAATGAAATCCAAATTTCTATGAAATCCTTTTTTTAAAACAAAAGTAAAGTGCAACATAGAGTGCAAGAAGCTGTCCAAGAAGTGTCCATCTCATAGTCCAAATCACTGAAATCAAAGTTCAGTATTATAGTGTAAGAATGACAACATATCCACGTGTTCTAGTCTACCAATAATAAAATTATAATCAAAAAACACTTTTTAAAGGAGTATTTACCAGAAATGTTATTTACCAGAATTTAGTTAGGAGAAAAATGTAAATGTGCAGTATTTCTGAAAAAAGAAAAGAAAAAATCTATTAATTGGAGATGCTTTTGATTATTAAAATTTAATGGAACCATTCAAATGGAATCCAGAAAATAATGGAAAACAGAATTTGGTAAAGATAAAACTGTAAAACTCAATTAATTAGACAGGCTTTTTGATTAATACAATTTAATTTAACCATTAAAACAGAGTATAGAAAAATGAAAATGGAAAAAAACTGAATTTGGAAATAAAATGGATTTCATAGGGCCCTATAATTATAATTATTTTTTTGTGGTAATAAAAATAGATGTAAGTGAACAATAGCCTTTAAAATTACTAAAGAATATGTGGACATCAAAACATGTAAACTCAGAGTGAGGGCTTGAGCTTTTATTTTGAAACCGCGATGTATTCTCCTGTGTTTGCATATAGATTTATAAATGATTTACCTTACAAATCTGATTAAATGGCGCTCGTTGCGTTCCCAGATGAACGTTATAATAAACCCAAACTCACAACAACATGCAGAGATGGAGTTTGAGACGCTCCACACATGTAAATGATAACAGTTCCTGTGGAACTATGGTGAATGGAGCCGCTGTGTGACGCACGTACTTAACCTACACACATGTAAATAATTAAAGCGCATATACTGTATTAGAACTGCATTGCATTTAATTATTTAATTAAATCGTAGCATTTGCAAATTCACAATTATGCTTAATTATGATTTTTAAATGGGTTTAATATATCATGCAGCCTTGGGAAACAGACTAATAAAGTGTTTTATGGATTCTCGTCCATGAAATACGCCACTTCCGGTATTTTGCCGGTTAGTTGACACGAGCAAAATTAAGTCGAAGATTTTTAAAAATTGAATAGTCTAATAAAATCGACGACTCGCGACAGCCCTAGAAAATTCTGTCATTAATTACTCACCCTCGTGTTGTTCCAAACCCGTAAGACCTTCGTTCATCTTTGGAACACAAATTAAGATATTTTTGATGAAATCTGAGATGCGCGCACATGCTGAACGTTAACAACGCTCATTACGTTGATTACGTTCTGGGGCACTCTCCAAAATGGCGGAAGACGGTAACTCGGGAAGAAGAATTGCTGAATAAATTATGTTATTATTGTTTTCTGTGCGCACAAAAAGCATTCTCGTAGCTTCGTATAATTATGGTTGAACCCCTAATGTCACATGGACTATTTTACCGATCTCCTTGCTACGTTTCTGGACCTTGATTGTGTAAGGATCCTTGCTGTCTATGGGAGGGTCAGAGAGCTCTCAGATTCCATCAAAAATATCTTAATTTGTGTTCCGAAGATGAATGAAGGTCTTATGGGTTTGGAACAACACAAGGGTGAGTAATTAATGACAGAATTTTCATTTTTGGGTGAACTATCAAGGGTGAGTAATTAATGACAGAATCATTAATTTTGGGTGAACTATCCCTTTAAACATCATCACACAAAATTAATGTACTTACTGGTCCAATTTTGCAGCCTCGTGTTTATAATTGTGCTCTTGAAAACTATTATAATTCACACGTTCTAACATTTTAAATACATATATCAAATTGATTTTTTTTTTAAATATAAAAGATTTGTCTGAAGCTTACTGGTGATGGTGAAGAAGTCATGCAAACATGGTGTAGTCAGTTTATAGCCTACCTTTAGCTTTTTACTTCTATGGCGATTGTTATAGGCTTCAAAATTAATAATAGATGTGTTCATCTGTGAAGATTATCATGATGAACAGAACGTGCACGAATCATAAATTTTGTTTGTCACAGAGCTCATATTCTGCAATTATCCAACAGTCAATAGAATATCAATAGACAATAGTTTTGTCACGGGAACCAGGGTAATGCAAACTTCTGTGTTAACAAAAGACATCATACTTGCATCACTCTATATGCTATGTACTCAAAAACATTAATAAAATTCACTTTTAGATAATATGCACATTTAAAATGTACATGTTCTTTTGGAAAAAAAAACAGCAAAAAACCTTGATGACTCATCCTGCACTACGCAGATTTCTGTCCAATCAAATGCTCTCTTGAATGAGAATGTCCCTCCCACTTTTACCACCAGAAACCAAGTAACAATTTATATTCATAGCTGACACATGACTACAAACTTATTGGCTATTTGAAAAAATAAGGGATGAGGCCTTCGAAATATGCCACCAAAACCTCCTGTTAGAAGTAGGCCTAGCTTGTTACTTCTGTATTTAGACATTAATATTCATAGCAATTGTGTTCATTTGAGAAGTTTATCATGATGAACAAAATGTGTTAGAATCATAAACTTTGGCTTATTTTCTGCACTTATCCAAAAGTGCAAAAGACAAACCCTATTGGCTTGCTATCGAGGCAACCAGGAGAATACAAACTTACAAAATGCCTTGAAAAAATGTCACTAGTACAATATGCAAGTGTACACTTTTAGATAATATACACATTTAAAATAAACAGTCATATTCTTTTGGCGAAACAGAGCAAAAAATCTTGATGACTCATCCTGCACTACACACATTTTGGTCCAATCAAATGCTCTCTTGAATGAGAATGCCCCTCCCCCAGTACCACTTGAAACCAACTAGGCTGCTATTTACAAAAATAAGGGATGAAGCCTTCAATATATGCCACCAAAACTTAAAAAAAGTAAGCGCGCAGCTCTCGTTAATCAATTCTACTGGGTCTTTAAGTAAGACAATGAGCACCAATAATAACAAAAAAGGTCACTCATATCTTCATTTTGGCCAAATTTCTGCAATTGCACAATGAGCAAAAGAGAAAAAGAGGAAAGATGAGACAAATACTTTATTCAGCACATGCAAAGGACACAGGAAGCATAGCTGAGCAGCCTAAGGGTATTCTCAAGGGAAACACAACGGATCTGCAATCTCCATAGTGTGCCATTTGTTGTCTGTCTCCCTGGAAAGTTGAAACCACAATCAAACTGACAATCATAGGCCATTACAGACCTATAGTCATTACACTTATAGAAAATCTCAGGCTCATGACATATGGCTGGTTAAAAATATAATTTCTCAGCACTAAGCATTCATTAGAGCCATCAGTAGTGCTGAGAAATTATATCCTCCCTAAAACATTAACAACACATTTCTGTTCTCCTCCTCGGATAATTTCTCAATGGTTTAATAAAGGCAGAAAGAAAGGATAGGCTCTGCTCTTGGACTGGTGCATGAGCACATGCACATGACTCCTTACACAAAGGCAAAAGGATGCTCCATGTGGTTCCAGTAGGAGCCCACAGAACAATATCTTTTCTATCTTTAGGACACAGTCAGGATCGCCTAACTACCGGCTTTTTTTGCTGAGCAGATCCCTAATTTTGTATTTAAATCAATGCATATGTCAGTGTTTATATGCAGAAGGTTTCAACTGCGGTCTATGTGATGTGTAAGACAGATGTTGAAGCTGTGCTGGTGTGATTGCCTGGAAGGCACGAGACGTTATGCCTCAGCAGTCTGGCACGTGTTTCAATAATAATTACAACGCCGGTTGCAAGAAACAAAAATGACTACAAGCAAGACTTAACAGCTCGAGGTCTGATAATAGACTAAGCCTGTCTCAATATCTAGTGAGCTGACTACTTAGACAGAATGCACGCCCCTGTGATGTCAAAAAACGCCGCCTAGGTAGGTAGCTCACTACTTGTTGAGACACAGCCTAACGTACAGACGCACTGCCCAAAGCGAGAGACGGGACGCTCTTGAGTTACTAACCACAGCAATGGACGTCCTCACCGCCTCCGACACACTTTGTCTGAGCTCCGCAGCCGTTCCAGGTTTGCTCAACCTTTTTGTGAATTTTCTTACTTCGGACATGTTTTAGTTTGATTGTAATTCCATCAACGTCCTCATTGCGGAAAGCGACATCGCAGCACGCCAATCTGCGCGTCTGCCAAGAGGTGCGGATGCAGGCGGGGCGGGGCCTCATGGACCAGCGTTAGCTCCGCCCATCACGTGGGGTTGCCTGATATTGAGCAATCCCTGGTTTTGAATTATTAATGTAAAAGTTTTATAGTTTTGTATTTTATATTAAGAGAGACTATAGGTTATCTTGTTTTAATATGTAATGTTTTAAGATGTAATGAAAATAATGTGGTAAATAAATAAATACATAAATAGTGATGAGTTTTCATTGTGGTTTTTAAGCAACAATGTGAAAAAGTCTAGATTTTTGACATTTTGTGCTTTTTTTTTTAAGCTAGCCTGAGTCTTATTTGTTTCAGCAATAAATCAGCACGTTTCACATCTGAATACGTGTTCTTGTGAATATATTTGTACATAATCATTAATATGATCATAGGCTGACACCTTGTGGTCTTGGTTGGTAGTAAAAATGTACATATTAAGGCCACAAACTTAAAACGGTGACATAACCATAGGAAAGTTATATTGCATATGAGCATTGTATTTTCATGTGTACAAAATGCATGCTATTTACATGGTTAGTTATGATATAAAAAACTACATATATTATTTTATATATACATACACATACATATATATATTATACATTCTGTACAGTCCTAGTATTCATCTGACAGCTAGCAAATACATCCACACAGCTGCCTTTAAAGCAGTGGCTCTCAACCAAAAATTATATCAATTACATTGACATAATTTTAAGATGATATCAATGTAATTATATTCACATAATCCAAAATAAAACACTTAAAAACACAGACACAACCCAATTTACAAAACTGAACTGTCATATGAAGTTCATTCAAGTTCATTTATTATTAACAGAAGTACCAGAGGTGCATATCAAATTGATAGGAGGGTCTTAGAGTCAAAAAGGTTGAGAACCGCTGTTTTAAAGCATTAGTATGATTCAGAGCATGAAGAATGATCATAATCAAATAAAGGCGAAGTTAACGTGTGCCACGGAAGATACATATTCAATGTCTCTCTGACCGTGTGTCTCTCAGCTACATTTGGTTTTCAGAAGCTGATGAACTTTTCGGCTCAAGCTGGGTCTCCATGGCTTCACTATACTCTTCATGTTAACCATAGGACGCCCTCTTTTCACATCCTCATGTCCAACTACAAGATATTCCAACCCTACAGCAAGAGAAAAACAGTCTCATCAGTCAACAAAATGATCAAATTAGCCTGATTTCACTAAACAATTATCAACAAAGATAGGCCACAGTGTTTAGTATTATTTATGGACTCTTGAAGTATTTATTAAGAATTAGTTTATATTTTTGTAAACATACCTTTTTTTTTTTACATTTTAGTCTAGTTTTAGATTAAATTTATGTTTGTCATTTTTATTAAGTTTTTAATATTTTTATTTTGTTTTATACCATGGTCTGTCTGAATACTCTATTCTGATTGGCTGGCAGGTATGCAGTAAAACCGTTTAATGCACAGGTAATTCCAAGTCAGTTTAATCCCCGTTCTATATTAATGTGCTGCTTGAATTGATGCAAACAAACCCACACACATCACTCGCGCGCGCACGCACACACACACACACACACACACACACACACACAACTGTCATCTCTCTTTCTCGATAATTATCGATAATCAATTACCTTAATTTATTAATTACTTCCAATTTTAGTTGTCAAGGTTTAACCTTTGTAAGTTTTTCCATGTAATATTTTATAATTTATTTCAGCTTTATTTTATTTATCAGAGAAGTTTTTAAAATAGTTTTTAATTTTAGTTAACAATAACAAGACTGATTAGGACAACCTAACTAAAAATCACAGAGACAAAGTAAAATAAATGCATTTAGTAACACCATTATGAAAATGGAGAATTCTGATTCTCAGATACAGTATATATATATATATATATATATATATATAC